TGGAGCAAGAATCAGATCCGTGTGTCTGGGTAAGCAGAATGTTCTGGGAATATAATTCCTTTTTCCTTCTTTTGTAAGAACAATTTATTTCTTCAGTTTTGCATGAGGGCTTCTTAATATTGAGCAGGAATATATATCATTCTTGTGTGGGATTTGGAAAATTATTTGAGAAAGGGTTCCAATAAATGAAAATGAATTAAGGATGACTGTGGAGTTCATTGGGCAACTTGTAGAGCTTTTTTAAGTGAACATTCCACAAGAGGGGAACCAGTAGCTATTGCATAGTCTCAGAGCTGTCTCTGAGCCTCCGTGGCATGTTATCTGCCCCATCTAAGGGCTATAAAGGCCATAAGCCTAGCTTTAGAATTTTATGTTCCTGTCTGAGTCTTTATTAGTCTGATTTCCCTATGTTTCACACAGAAAGCTACAGGAAGCAATCATTTTGATAGAACCCTTAATGGATGCATTCATGTCCTGATTTAGATCGAGTTTTGCCTTTACTACGATCACCTGTGAACCAGGCAACTCCTCTGCCAACTTGGCCTCAGTGCCGTAGTTTTGTAATGAATGGGCCAAACTACCTGCTCTTTAAGCCTGTTTCTAACTCAATGGGCCCCAATCCTCCCATAACATTGCCTAGTGGGAGGAGGGAATAGTTAAGAAAAGAGATGGACAAGATACATGATGTTAGTTCAGGAAAGCCTACAGTTTCGGGCACAGTGGTTCTGGATCAAGGACCCCAGTGGAATTCATGGAAGCCATTCTTCTTGTTTGAGTTCCAAAGAAGGGGTTGAGGGGTAGTCAAGGCCATCAGGATGACCTTGACTCAAAGTGTGGTCCCTGGACCAGCTGCAATAGCATCATCTGGAGCTCATAAAAATGATAGAATCTGGAGCCTCCCCCAAGACCTACTAAGTCGGAATCTGTAGTGGAACAAGACCCCCAGGTGATTCATGGGCATGGTAAATGTTGGGCTACATGGAGGGAGGGTCAACAGGGGGTGATAGGGGGTGTCTAATTCAACACACCAGTGCCCTCTAGATTTCTCCAACTATGACACAGGACTTATACTGATGTTTATGTATCATTTAGTTCCAGGCTATCTTATTTTCTGTCAAAATCACCTCTAATATATAGAGTGTTTTCCTCTTAAAAGAAAATCCTGTAAGCAAGGTCATCCTAACCAACCCTGGGGTCTTTGATTGTCAATGATTATAGCAAGCTGTAAAGAACCTATTTAGAGGCTACTCAGATGTTTAGGCCTCTGGGCCCTATGATGACTGACCCTAAACCACTGAGAATCACCTGGGAAGCTTTAATAAAACACCTGTGCCTGGATCCCACTCCAAACCAATTAGATCAGAATCTCTGAGATTGAGGCTTGAGAAAAGTAGGTGATTCTAACATGCAGGCAGGGTTGAGTACAATTTCCCTAAGACCTGAGTGATTGTTTTGATGTGTGCACAGATTTATAAATCTAAGTAACTACGAAAATGTCAAAGTTATTCTTTCTACCATCAATTCTCATTGTAAACTTCACCCCAACTCCATATTTTACTTCTTTCCCTTTGCCCGACTTTGCTGCTTCCAATCCTTTGTGGTCAGGGATCCGTAGCCCTAAGTTTACTGGAATCATAAAGGTCTGAGATCTTGCTAATGTGTAAAACACAGATTCTGTGATATATATGTAGCTGTGAAGGCATCCATGCCTGGAGTGTTTCATTTGTTTGTTTTTTGAGACAGAGTTTCCCTCTTGTTGCCCAGGCTGGAAAGCAGTGCGCTATCTTGGCTCACTGCAACCTCCATCTCCTGGGTTCAAGCGATTCTCCTACCTCAGCCTCCCGAGTAGCTGGGATTACAGGCATGCACCACCATGCCTGTCTAATTTTGTACTTTTAGTAGAGATGGGGTTTCTCCATGTTGGTCAGGCTGGTGTCAAACTCCTGACCTCAGGTGATCCTCCCACCTCGGCCTCCCAAAGTTCTGGGATTACAGGCATGAGCCACCGCGCCTGGCCTGTTTTTTGTTTGTTTGTTTTTTTATTCCTATGTCTGGGCCGTAGTTTAAATAATTAAGGCGGCTGATCAAGTGACTTGAGGGTAAAAAAGATGTTGTAGCCTTTTACTCATAAGGGATGAAATGGTGTCTCTAAATTAATGGAGAATCTGAGACAAGGATATTTCAAGTAGAAATTAGGGACTGATCCTACTCTGCCCACTACATAGCTATCTTCTCTCTCTTTAAACTTAACAATTCTAAGAAACTTAAAGCTTCTCCAACTTTAAGGTGCATATGGAGATTTTATTTAAATACAGATTCTAATTTGGTAGGGTCGAGGCGATTCTCAAGATTCTGAATTTGTAACATATTCATATCCTTGGAGTTGAGGCAGGTGCTAATGGTCTATAAATCACCTCTGGGTAGCAAGGGCCTATACTAACCCCCATACTACCCTTGACACCCGCACAAAACACAAATGAAAAACACAACTCGCAACCGCTACTCAAAATGCACTGAATAGTTGATTCTGCCAAGCTAGTGAGTGAGCAAGATGTGATAGAATTGCACTGGACACTTTGAGCTACAACTGTGGCTCCCATTTGCCAGAGGCAAGTTCAAGTTGACCTACATTTGTATTGGAAACGTTTCTCCATCCTGGGATGACTCCACACCTTGGATGTTATTGTCCTACTGGTGCTATGATGCCTACAGCTTTGTTTTTGGTTTTTCGTTTTGTTCAAAAATGCTTTAGCTATTCAGATCTTTTGTGGTTCCATATGAATTTCAGGATTATTTTTTCTGTTAATGTGAAAGTGTTGTTGAAATTTTGGTAGGGATTGCGTTGAATATGTAGGTTGCTTTGAGTAGGATGAACATTTTAATAATTTTAATTCGTTCAATCTATGAACATGAGAGATTGTTCCATTTGTTTGTGTCTTCTTCAGTTTCTGTCATGGGTATT